CGTGAAAGGACCAAGTCATGACAGAACTCACTTTTCTGCGCTCAAATCATCACCAAGTGACTGTTACTATCGGGCGAGCAGAGCGAGCCCACCTAGTCGTGTCTTCGGCCGAATTATATACGACGCCACCGTCGTCGTCTTAGTGCGCGCATGCGTTATACTAGTGGAAATGCTTGGCATTCTCTGGGCGAGCGGAGCGAGAACTGAAGTAATACACCATCATCATTACTAGCGTTAATATAGCTACGTACGTACAGGTAAAATGTTTCAGCAAGTAACAGAAGTTATTATGGTGTTGACATAATATTAGGTTGAGTCTTGCGCATACGTAGCTAGTGAAACTAGACCAGAAGAAAGTAGCAACGGGAAGGTAATGTGCCCATACCCCCTCTCCATCTCTTAATCGTCGCTGAAAAGACAAGCCTCTCTGTCGTGAGGACTTTCGACGGCCGGCCGTTCTGTCTGTCTGCCTCTTGGGACAGAAGCAGTATCGTTGCCTTGGCCGCTCAAGATCTCGTAATGGTCCCTGAAAAGACGAGCCTCTCTGTCGTGAGGACTTTCGACGGCCGGGCGTTCTGTCTGTCTACCTGTTGAGTATCGTTGCCTTGCCCGCTCTCGATCATCCCTGAAAAAGACGAGCCTCTCTGTCGTGAGGACTTTCGACGGCCGAGCATACATAGATAGAAAATTCGAGCCGAAGACACGATTCTCTGTCTGTTTTTCTTCGACGAAGAACGCTATCCTCCGCGGATGCCACTGGAGAAAATATTCCGCACAGTATGTCGTATAATAAGAAGCGCGTAATATTAATACATGCGCACTAAGACGACGACGGTGGCGTCGTATATATTATTGCGGAGCGGAAGCGAGCTAACCTAGTGGGCCGAACGGCGCAGATTTTTCTATATATATATATTATATATTATATATGATATATGTACCGTACGTCGTCCAACTGCCGCATGCTCCAGCATTACGACCGCTTCTTTTTGATCGAAAGTGTGATTATAATGCTGCCTGCATCGAGCGGAATAAGCGGGAACGCAACACCTCCGAGCTATCGAGTATTGCTGCACAGTGCCAGCGAGAGATGTTTCTACATGCCACTTGCTTCCCTATTGCCTGCAAGACAATCAGTTGCCGGATATGCCTGATTCGCGCTGTCGACTGACTGTTTTTGACTCGACTCGAATTGTCGTACTGCGCCTCAGGGTCGTTTCGGCCTACTGGTCCTGGCTGCAATGTATCTCACTGTTTGTGCACACACGAAGAGTGACGTCAGCACACGATTAGACCCCAATTGTAAGCGCGCTCCGCTCGCCAAAATGCCATGCATTCGCCTACTAGTATATAGATGTAGAAATTCGAGCGAAGACACGACTAGGTGGGCTCGCTCCGTTCGCCCAATTACGCGCTTCTTATTATACGACATACTGTGCGGAATTTTTTCTCCATCCTCTTAGTCCGTCCAGTTGAGATCCGCGGAGGATAGCGTTCTTCGTCGAAGAAAAACAGACAGAGAATCGTGTCTTCGGCTCGAATTTTCTATCTATGTATGCTCGGCCGTCGAAAGTCCTCACGACAGAGGGGCTCGTCTTTTTCAGGGATGATCGAGAGGGGGCAAGGCAACGATACTCGATCCAAGAGGTAGACAGACAGAACGCCCGGCCGTCGAAAGTCCTCACGGCAGAGAGGCTTGTCTTTTCAGCGACGATTAAGAGATGGAGAGGGGGTGTGGGCACATTACCTTTCCGTTGCTACTTTCTTCTGGTCTAGTTTCACTAGCTACGTATGCGCAAGCTGCCTTACTCAACCTAATATTATGTCAACACCATAATAACTTCTGTTACTTGCTGAAACATTTTACCTGTACGTATGTAGCTATATTATCGCTATATTATAGTAATGATGATGGTTGTATGATTATACTTCAGTTCTCGCTCCGCTCGCCCAGAGAATGCCAAGCATTTCCACTAGTATATCATATAATAATTGTTCATTGTGCTTCCAAACGATATGCGTCTAATTATATTAACTAAATTTTGGTGCGGAAATGTGTAGCTATGGCTTTCCCAGAGCGGGTCACAGAGGTTAATTATTAACCCTCGGCGCGCATGCGCAGCGAGGGTTACAGTAGTCGTTCTGTCTGTCCGTCTGTCTGTCCGTCCGCGCGAGTTCTAGCACTACAGGCTACGAGGCGGCCAATGAGAGGCACCAACGGGTTGTGAACGACGAGAAGATTGATATTTATGTGGCGATTTTCCCGAAACGACTGCGTTCCAGAGATATGGCGTGAAAACAAGCGAAAAGGCCAACGCGCGGTGGATCGCACACGCGCCCTCTCCTGCGGGCTATAATTGCTGTATAGCGCGCACGCGTAATGTGAACTAGTCGCCGGAGCATGCGCTTGGTTGTATATGGCCTCCTGTCAGTTTTAATCTCTGTTCCCTATGGATAAACGATAAACATGCTGAGCAAGCAATAGTTCAGGTGGCGAGCAGTTTGTGGTTGCGGCCTTGCCTTCCCCATCTATAAAACGTCTGGCGAGAGCATTGAAACACAGAAGAGCAGATAGATTGAATAAAGCAAAGATGAGAGCCTCTGAAACACCTGAACTATTGCTCTAACCGCTAATGCAACTACCCGTGTTACGGTGAAACTAGTGTTACTGGCTCCGTCGATGTCGCACGGCCCAGCATACAGCGATGCTACAACTCGCTAGTTTACCGCCGAGGGTTTGCACTTTAGTGCTTTTCATTTAATCCTGTGAGGACGGCTCAAACATTCCCCCACAATGTTATGCACACTACGTCAACTTCTGGCAAAGGCTGGTCTCAGGTAACCAACCTAAACACAGAATTCTTGAGGCGTGTAGTCGGGTCTCATGGATGTTGAGGGTTTAATTTGGAGTTGTTGATTTTGAATATTCAGTGCACAATCATTGTGTATGCCTATGCCTATGAATGTGAGTTACAAATACTTTGTCAGTTCACAGAGTTCAATTCCATATGTAAAGTTGTTGGAAGGAGTAAGGTTAACAGTAGCTTGTAAAGCAGCAAATTGATTGTCATCCAATGATATAGAATTTCTCGGTACTACTACCTGTTGAAGATCAGACGATGGAATAGGATCATCTTCGTCAATGGACCAGTTGCACGAATGCAAAAGTATGCATGACACGTAAAGTGGGCGAGATAATTGAACGTGGCGTCACATCCGGAGTCTCGTTCGGGCTCCAGCGCGTTCTACGGAGAAAATGTAACCGTCCGTAGGGAAGTACGTAGCTTTTACGGTATGCTCTATTTTTTTACCCGTTATCTCCTTACCAGTAGCTACCAGTTGAAGCCTGATATTTTCACTGAATGTCTACAATTTCGCCGGAGGTGTGCACGGACACCAAGCGATCGTTTCTTTCTTGCCGCAAGTCACTGTGGTAGATCATGGAGCTCTTCCATGGCCGACACTGAACAACGCTAACTCAGCATCAGTGAGCCGCGCGCATGCGCCAGGCAGGGGCGTTGTCCAATGCGCGCTTGCGAGCGTATTACCAGGCGACCTGCAGAGGAATTCTGTGTGTATAGAGTAATGCAACTATGTTGACACACAGGCATGAAAAACATGTAACTATTATCATGATTTAGGTCTTGGGTATCACATGATAATATAACAAGGTTGCATGGAGAATCTTTGTGTATAAGCCTAAGGACAGTTGCTATAATTATATATAATCTCTTTCTTCAGGGTTTAGGGGCAAAAATTTGTCATTACAAGGAATGCTCAAGGATAGTGTCGACCTAAAAATTGAGCATTAAAAATGGAGCTACGCTTTCTGCTACATTTCTGTGTCCACAACACATACAGTAGCTCTTATATATATACTTCCACTGGTAACTGCACAGATAACCCAGGTAACTTTGCCTTGTGTTCCAAAACTCCACGTAAAAGAAGTGTCACAGAAGCACAGCACATGTTGTTTGATGGGCACTTGGCGTCAAAGTTTAAAAACTAACATAATTAACGCGATCCGCTTTAGCTATATACAACTGAACAACGAACAAGGAATAATAGTATGTATAAGAGCTAGTTAGTAAGAAAGCTAGTTAGTATCAATGTTCTAAAAATTAAAGACTCAATCTTTGTTCTACGTTTTCGTTGTCATTTCATACCCTCCTCCATTTCCCTCCTTTGTTGACTTCTTTTTTAGTGCGATGACACAACAGAGGAGGATGATGATGATAATTATTGCAATTATAAGTGGGATTCCTAGGCCAATTCCCAGGCTTAGTTCAGTAGCATATGAATTGTTGCCATCAGGAGAATCAGGGGTGAGAGGTATTGGTTGGGAGTTGGGGAGAGGACAAGTTTGATCAGTACAGTCAATGCAGACACCATTGGCATCACATATAGGACAGGAGTTTTCTGCGAGAATGTCAATACAGTCGGGTATATCACTATCTTTAATATTCGCCGGAACAAGCTCATCATACACATACCCCCATTCTTCTGCAACGCGGTACTGCTCTCCTGCTGTAATTAAGGGAAAGAAAGGCACTAAATAGTCACCACGGTTGTGCCCGGGATGTCCGCCACAAATTGGCACATAAGCAGGAAGGAGGTTGGAGGAGTTTTTTCCATTTGCAAAGCGCTGCATCCAACTCTCCAAGATTCTATCCACATTACAGTGATGAAGATTGAAAACTGGATCATTCACAGCAGCAGGCACGTCATCCATTTGACCCCCCACCCAGTCATGAACGACGTTGTGCATGTGATCGTTTTGTGTATGGTTGTTATCACTATTAAATCCGACGCAACTCATTGCTGAGCATATCATATTCCATCCTTCCAATCTGCTTCGGAAACTTGCTCTAGAATCATTCCTAAAATATTGTCCACTGTCATCAGCTGCATCATAGGAAGGAGCAGCAATGGCTATCATTACTTCCACTACATTAGGGAGATATGGGGAAAAGCCTCCTCTCTGAAGAGGCCGCCGTTCTGCTAAATCATTGGCTGGGTTGCAAGGTTTCCATGCAGTCTCACAATTGATGTTCCGATTCCAGTATGTTACATCACATATTGTGTTCCAGTCGTTTGGGTTTATAATGTCTCCACTCACATTGACTCGTGGACTTGCGTTATTGGAGGGCACACCATAATAGTTTTCAGAAAACATGGATTTATCATCCTGCTCCCACTGCCAGTAAGGAAAACCAAATGAAGCGTTTTTTGTTATTCTCTGGAATTCTCTTTCGAGTGTTAGCATGTAACGTCTGTGCCATACTGGGAATGCTGGTCCAGAATGGGCAAAGTCAATAGATACATTCATGTTAACTGTACTACAATCCCCGTCACGTGCTACGTAATCGTGCAAGTATATGAAGAAGTCATAAGTGGAAACATTCTGCAACGTCACAAATCCAGTGGAATAGTTAGCTGGTTCTTCCACAACCACACTCCAGCGACCTGTTTCTTTCTTTAGTTGTTGGGTCGCATCAATAAAAGTCTGTTTGTCTTCATCCGAGAGGCGAGCAAAGCTTTTGCGAATTACTGGTACCTTCTTCTCTTTACAATTTTCTCCTGTCCACCCAAATGCACACTCTTTGCAATCTGCTCCCCAGAAATTCCCATTGCAAACGCATAGCTACATTCTCAAAAACTACCGTTGGCCACTGGTAGCGAGCATCAGCTGTTCTTTTCTCCGGTACGTTTGGCGTGTGTTCCAAAATTTCTACCACTTGAGGGTTGGCACACTTCAACTGAGCAGAAGCCCGAGCACTTATGCTTTCACATCTACCGTTCAAATTTCAGTCGTTCGGACAGCAGGTTTTTTGGTCGAGGCTCTGTGGCGTATTGCAGATGGATGGGAACTGCCCAAATACAATAGTGTAGGACGACAGCGAAAGAATGAGAGCTAGTAGCAGCATTTGCATCGTTAGACTGACCTATTACCATGCAGGAGCAGTAAATCACGTTCTGTTGAGTTGCGGGATCGGACGTATTTTTATTGACAAGACTGTGGCTGGAGAACGCGGCGTCAGAGAGGACGAGCGGGCCCGCCCTGCACTGATGCGCGGGGTAGGGCTGGGAGCCAGGCCCCCACCCACCTGGATCGCGCAACTCGTGAGCCTACGCCGCCTTTGAATGCGGGGATTATACCCGCACAGCAGACTGAGACGGCAGAGCCGGTTTTTACCGTGATGCGTTTGCTCGCCAAAAGCTACAATGGTTAATTTCTGCAACTAGCTCAATTGGTCACAGGCACACTCTGCATAATGACGAAATCTGACATGTATATACTGCACTTTGAGAAGTCTTTACGTGTTACCTACATAAAAAACATTGGTATGTGACAACACAAAATAGCTAAACAGTAAGCTTAGTGTTTGGCATTGCATCATCCCCCTTTCTCCTGCACCCCCAATTTTTAAACTCTGTACTTTGCTTAGTGTGAAGCACCTCCTCCCCGTAGATACAAACTATAAGACTGTACAACCTGACTAGCTAGATAAGACTGTATTAAAAGCGAGGGTTACAGTAGATTGTCTGTGTGTCTGTCCGTCTATCTGTCGATTCTTATTCTGGCACTACAGGCTACCAGGCGGCCTATTAGCGATACTAGCGGCTTCAGAACTACGCCAACCATAAAATTAAAATGGCGATTTTCCTGAAACGACTGTGTTCCAAGCGAAAGGCCTAATTATGCACGAGCGATCGATAGCGCACGCGTAAGCGTCTCAGCATTTTGCCGAAAACACGCGCCACGTGGTTGACATGGAGAGGACGTGCAAGCAGTGTTTTCGAGTGTCTCTCCTCAGCGATCAGTTTTCATCTTTGTTCCTGATGTGTAACAAACTGAGCAAGGTAGCTATGTCCGCAATGTAGCACAGCAGTTCACGTTAGACGAGCAGTTTGTGAATGCGGCCATGCCTTCCCATCTAAACGTAAAGCGCAGTCTGGCAATGTGTCGCAAGCAATGAAACACAGAAAAGCAGATAGATTGCATCAACAATGACTGAGTAGAGAAAAACCGCTTGCTCGTCCAAGGTCAAGACAGTCAAGAGAACAGAGATCAACAACGACTGAGGAAAAAACCGCTTGCTCGTCAAAGGTCAATTAAACCGCGCGGAATCTAGCAGATGCGCATGCTCCGGCAAACGACATACGCGCGCGCGCGATGGATCGCTCGCTCCGGTCACCCACATACGCGCGTGCGCGATGAATCGCTGGCCTAAGCTTTTTCGCTTGTTTTCCCACCATACCTCTCGAACGCAGTCGTTTCGGGAAAATCGCCACATTGATATCGTCGTTCACAACCCGTTGGTGCCACTCATTGGCCGCCTCGTAGCCTGTAGTGCTAGAACTCGCGCGGACAGACAGACAGACAAACAGACAGAATGACTTCTGAGAGTTTGCTCACTGGTTCCTCAGCTGGGACTGCACACCTTCATGCCTAACAGCACTGTTCTGTGAGGTCAGCCATCCTTAGAGCTAGATCACCACCGCTGAAACCTATACTAATGACTGACTTTCTTCGTTCTGTTCTACATTTTTACACGGCAAACACACCATCTTTCAAACTGGGACAAGTTTTTTGATATATTTTTGCACTCAGGATAGCTAAGACTCACCAGATAGACATCATCCCACAAACCAGACGGCGACAATTTTGATGAAGCCATACTAGACATACATACAGGAGAGAAACGGGCACTCAATCTAGCTCAGAATACATACTGAGAAGCTAAGGAGATCTACTTATAAGAAATATGGGTATGTACTTACTCTTTTGCCTCAACCACCTCTCGACGTGCACGTGCCAAAACACATGCACCGATATACACGTATAATAGCCTGGTGGGACTACAGTAGCAAGGGGCACATACGTATCATTATGATGCAACTGACTTACTCTCCTATACTTTCTGGAAGTTCTCTTAGATGATTGTAGTCCAACTTCACTAGATGCAGTGACCTCAGTTTCCCTGCATCACCAATTACACAAAAATTACCGACACGCCAACACCACAATGATTACTATGGATCACAAATGAGGTATAAGCAAGGGCAAAGTAAACAAATCAATAACACACAGGATATCACTTTGAAAAAGCTGCCCTGGGTGGGACTCACACCAATGACACTCTGCAGTTACAACAAAGCCGTGGTCACTGACCGAAGTCTTCAGGGAGTTCTTCAAGGCAGTTCTCAGATGCATGAAGATCAGAGAGGGATGTGAGCTGGGAGAAGCCTGGAGGAAAGTATGCCACTTTGTTCTCTGTGATGTCCAGGACTACCAGGTTGCTCAGCCGGACAATACTCTGGAAAATAGAGATGAGTGGGGAGGACAACAGTTTAATGAGTTCATCTCTATTAGATTATTGTGACACAGCTGCCCAGATAGATTTAAAAAATAAGTGAAATTTAGATGATAATGTACATAGGTACAGGCTTCGCTTGCCAAAATGATTTTCATACTGAAGTGACTCAGCTGCACTGACAAAAAATCCCAGAAGAGTAATACACCATGTACCATGATATCAGGACATGTAAATAGATATTCTTACACTTTCTACAGTGGTTATAGCATGAAATGGGGAAGCCACCTCAACCAAATTGCAGGGATCCACCCTCTCCTTCCCCTACATGCTCAGAGAGACTATGTATAGTTTATATATGCACATGTGGTTTCAATAATTCTTCCTTATAGAACCAACAACATTGAAGTGGCTTCCTGTGTGCAATAGATACATACACCTCTGGTAAATGTCATCCGTCAAATGCCTGTCGACATCATGAGGAGAGTACCGCTGCCACTGTGGTACTGCTGGCTGTATGAGAAGACAGGGGTCTGGAGCAGGTGTGCCAAAGACACCATCTCAATGTCAGTTCCCCAGGTGCCATCTTAGTCCATACATGTGGAAGCTATATAACTTTGAATATTGTCATACCCTATGAGATGGTGGCCTAGGAAATGTTGGGCATTATTACCCTCGGTGCGCATGCGCAGCGAGGGTACTGTAGTTGGGTTTGTCTGTGTGTGTGTGTGTGTGTCTGTTACTCTACATCTCACCTCTCGAATGTCTGTTCGTCCCAGAAACGATACCATCTACCCAACGGGCGACAAAGGTCAGCGCATGCGCTTATATTTAGCACAGGCTTACCTCGACCGGGTCCGCTTGCTCTGTCTATATTGAAGTCACAAGAAGTCACAACGGATGGCGTGTATCGACTCTCGCGTGCGCTCTACTACTGTAGCTAGCCCGTGTCAGACTCTCTGCGAGCTACTTCGCCGAGGGTTTGCACTTTAGTGCTTTTCATTGGGTCTGCCTGTTTGTTTGTCTGTTTGTCTGTTACTCTACATCTCACTCCTCGAACGTCTGTTCGTCCCAGAAACGATACCATCTACCCAACGGGTGACGAAGGTCAGAAAATAAAGGCGGTTTTCTCTGAAAATGCTTCGTTGCAAAGCTAGAGCGCTTCCACCATTGTACGGCTAATACGTAGTCGGCCATTTTTACCCTCGGCGCGCATGCGCAGCGAGGGTACTGTAGTTGGGTGTGTGTGTGTGTCTGTTACTCTCAATCTCACTTCTCGAATGTCTGTTCGTCCCAGAAACGCTACCATCTACCCAACGGGCGACGAAGGTCAGAAAATATGTGGGGTTTTCTCTGAAAATGCTCCGTTGCAGAGCTAGAGCGCTTCCACCATTGTACGGCTAATGCGTAGTCGGCCATTTTTATCGCTGCGGAAAATGCGCATGCGCTTATAACCTCGACCGGGTCGTCCGCTTGCTCTGTGTATCTTGAAGGCACAAGAAGTCACAACGAAGGGCGTGTATCGACTCTCGCATACTATCTACTACTGTAGCTAGCCCGTGTCAGACTCTCTGCGAGCTACTAGCGGGAGATCACGAGTAAACGCATACTAATAGCAGCCCAGCCCATCAATTAGCGGTACCGCGCATCCCCAGTTCGCCGAGGGTTTGCACTTTAGTGCTTTTCATTGGGTCTGAAATGAAAATAAAGAAGAAAATAAAGACGGTTTTCTCTGAAAATGCTCCGTTGCAAAGCTAGAGCACGAAAAAGCCAATATGCAAATACGCAACGGACGGGATGGGTCTGATCGATCAGCGTGCTCTGCGACCTCGGAGGCACCAGAAGATGTACGGTGGCTTTTTAGGGCCACAAATACCGTCGTAGAAAACTTCCATTCTACCGACTTCCATTCTACTACTTGGAAATTGCTGCGCATGCCCAGTTGTCATCCAGGCACGTGTAGCCCTCGAGATCGGAATGGCCACCGAGAAGGAGACGGGTGATGCAACCGTTGGAAAGCGAGGGAGGAAAAGGCTGAACCTCCAAAAAGAGGTGGATGTGACAGTTACAAGTCGTACTGAAGGTGTGTAGGTCGGCTTTTTTATCAACTAGTCAATTACAGTAGCCCTCTATAGCACTTGCTCGTTACGTGAAATTGGCTAACGATAAAAAGAAGGAAAAAACTGAAGACAAATGCGAAGCTGTCATGGTATGGTTATGCCAATGTTGATCAGTTTATGTAGTTGAAGGCTGTGTTATTGTAGATGCTGTGGTAGGAGGTCAATTCATGGCAATATACAAAGAGGGGTGATGACCGATCTTTAATTTCAACACAATTACGTTTTCAATTAAAGATATGACACACCAATGATGTTCTCAGAAAAGCCACAAGAAGTCAAAACTCTCCTTGGCAAAATAAATATCACTGATCCATCCTAGTCGATTCTATTTTTCTGTTCTCCACTCCGCCCCATACCTGCGTGTATCCCTCCACCTACCCGCACCTTTCCTTCCTCCATTTTCCTTCTCATTTATTACCTTCCCTTGCCTTCCATCTACACCCATCTATCTCCCCCTCTCTGGGATAGCTTCCCTCAGTAATACTTGTCAATCGTCTCAGCGCTCCACCACCATCATTCTAGTTGTTTTTTTGTTACATTTTCCATATCGTTTTCCTGTTCTCATACTTGTCCCTCTACCCTTTTTTTGTTCCCCACTGCTATTACTTAGCTCTTTTCACAAACAGGGCGACTGTCGATTGGCCCATACGCATTTCTTCGATTTTGTCGTTCTATCTTTCCCTGTCCTACCTCTTTTACGAGTCCAGTCCCCCGGTTCTCCCCTCGCTACCCAAAGGGTTTTAACCTTCTTTTCCCTCATTTTTATCACTTGATTAACTTTTTCTGTTTCTGTGGCCCCCCCGACCATTCTCTCCCTTAACTCCCCCCTTCTCATATTCGTCAAAAAAAAATATAACCAAACTCAAAGAAACTGCTACCTGCCTCTTATCCCACCTCCCCTCTCCTGTTGTACCCGGGAGCCCCCCCCGATTCTCACCCATTCCTTGTACCATTTGCCAGCACCCCTTTGGTCCATAACACCTCTCCATGCCCACATACAAAACGTCAAATCTATCAAAGAGTTAGTGGTCCACGACATTGTGTGCTAGTTTCCTCAACTTAGCCCGCTTTGTCTCCAGACTTACCTTCCAACTTCTACACTTTTTACGATCACCTTCCACTCGTTGCTACTTCATCCTCAGATTCCTTCGTCCAATGAGACTTGACGTTTTATTCTCTATTCCCTTCTTACACTCCCTCCAGCTTCCTTATTCTACCCTGTATTGTCTTAGCCTGCTTGCGACCTTTTCCATTTTACATTGTAGAATTACCAAATACCACTACTCCGATCCTACTTTTTGCTAGTGTCTTTAACATAGCTTTACTTCTTTCACTCTAAATTCTCTTAGATCCTACTGTCTCTCTGTTCCTTTGCTAGTCCCTCTTACTTCATTGCCTGCCCCCTTATAAGATTTGTTCTCTCGCTTTTTTGTGCGCATACTTCTAGGATACTCCACCCGCGCTCACGAAAACGTCTTTGCTCCGTTTCCTTATTCTTCCTCTCAACGATTTTTAGCTTCTGTTCCTCCGGCTCAACTCCTCCGGCGTTTTCTCTAAATCATTCCCCTTTTTTTAGTGATTCTTCCTCTCCCCTCCCGCCAATCATTCCATACTTGTTCTTCTTGGTTAGATCATGTCGCTCTAAGTCCTTTTCTTCTCACTTTTTTTTTACTCTACCTTCTCTCATGTAGTTCTCACTATTGTAAGCACCCCTCCTCCTCCCGGCTTTTCACTCACCGTCTGCTTTCTATCCTTTACCCCTCTCCCCTTCCATTCCTTTTTCTCTTAAAGTCTCTATGTCTTTTTTATCCTCTCCTCCGTTAACCCCCTTCCTAATATCATATTCACCAGAGCTCACTCTATCACCAAGAGCTCCCTTACACGACGACCCTTTCGATTCTTCTCTTTTACTTACGTCCCTGATCTTGTCCTTTACCATGACCCACCATCCACCACCCCTGTCTTTCTCCCTTTTTTCACCACCCCGTCACACATATTCATTTGATGTTCTAGTACTGTCTTAACGTGGAACCCCCGTACCCTGCCAGTCTATCCATTCCCACGAAAGCCCCACGTTCGCTCTTTCGCTACACGCCGTAAGACCCCTCTTTGCTACCCCCTTTACTCGTCCCAACCTCATTCCCCCGCCTGCTTCCTCCACATTTCTCACCGCCTACTTCTGTTTTTTCCCCTCTGTTTTGTGTATTATCCTTACTGTATCCTATCTTTCGTGCTCATTCCTCACTTTTCTCTGAACCTCTTTTTATCCGTCCACTCTCTTCATAACGGTCCCTTTGGTTGCCCCATCGCCCCTTATTGTTTCGCTCCAGGACTTCTCATCCCTAATACGTCTTCCCCACTTCTTCTTTGCCCTTCTCACCATTCTCGTACCCGGTCTAGTGCTTTTCCCCAAGTTTCACATCCATCTTCCTCCCAAGACCCCCTCTCCCTTTACTCAATGCCCCCATTAGTGTTTTTTTAATCTCCCGATCTATAAAACAATATCACGAAGGGCGTGTATCGACTCTCGCATACAATCTACTACTGTAGCTAGCCCGTGTCAGACTCTCTGCGAGCTACTAGCGGAGATCACGAGTAAACGCATACTAATAGCAGCCCAGCCCATCAATTAGCGGTACCGCGCATCCCCAGTTCGCCGAGGGTTTGCACTTTAGTGCTTTTCATTGGGTCTGTCTGTCCGTCTGTTTGTCTGTTAGTCTACATCTCACTCCTCGAACGTCTGTTCGTCCCAGAAACGATACCCTCTACCCAACGGGCGACGAAGGTCAGAAAATAAAGACGGTTTTCTCTGAAAATGCTCCGTTGCAAAGCTAGAGCACGAAAAAGCCAATATGCAAATACGCAACGGACGGGATGGGTCTGATCGATCAGCGTGCTCTGCGACCTCGGAGGCACCAGAAGATGTACGGTGGCTTTTTAGGGCCACAAATACCGTCGTAGAAAACTTCCATTCTACCATTCTACCGACTTCCATTCTACTACTTGAATGCCCAGTTGTCATCCAGGCACGTGTAGCCCTCGGGAATGGCCACCGAGAAGGAGACGGGTGATGCAACCGTTGCAAAGCGAGGGAGGAAAAGGCTGAACCTCCAAAAAGAGGTGGATGTGACAGTTACAAGTCGTACTGAAGGTGTGTAGGTCGGCTTTTTTATCAACTAGTCAATTACAGTAGCCCTCTATAGCACTTGCTCGTTACGTGAAATTGGCTAACGATAAAAAGAAGGAAAAAACTGAAGACAAATGCGAAGCTGTCATGGTATGGTTATGCCAATGTTGATCAGTTTATGTAGTTGAAGGCTGTGTTATTGTAGATTGCTGTTGGTAGGATGGTCCATTCATGGCAATATCAACGAGGAGTGATGACCGATCTTTCATTTCAAAACAATACTTTTTTCATAAAGATATGACACACCATGATGTTCTCCAGAAATGCATCGAGGCAACATGGGGGGACAGTGCAGGAAACTATTACCTCAGTGATGGGTCTGGCAGCAAAATTTCAGATGAAGATTTACTGGTCAGGGGTACCCCGCACGGTCTCCCCTGGTCATTGGGTAATTTTATGAGGGCTTGCAATATGTATGCTTCGCGCACAAGGCTTTATTGTGTCCGCATAGGTGTGTTCACTTACATAGTCAGTGAATGTGTCGGTATAACCGTATATTACACTGTAATAGACGAGGAAATGGACACATTAACAGTTGACCAGATGGCCCAGAATAAGAAGGAGAGTGTTGCGACTGCTGTGGGCGACCAGGAGAGTGTGGTGACTGTGGGCGACCAGGAGAGTGTGGCGACTGTGGGTGACCTGGAGAGTATGGCAACTGTGGGCGACCAGGAGAGTGTGGTGACTGTGGGCGACCAGGAGAGTGTGGTGACTGTGGGCGACCAGGAGAGTGTGGCGACTGTGGGTGACCTGGAGAGTATGGCAACTGTGGGCGACCGGGAGAGTATGGCAACTGTGGGCGACCGGGAGAGTGAGACTGCTGAAAACGTTGCTGCGTAGTTGACAATAATACCCCGTTGGCACTATTCATTGCAAGTTTTATACCAGAGTGTGGTTTGCTGGTTTTAATGGCGCCTCCAATGGCAAAAGTTTGCATTATGTGACCTAAGGTGATAAAAATTACTTGTCTAATACAGAGCCAAAACAACCTGAGGGCTTTTTTGAGGTCTACTTTGTGGAGAGAATATTTTCTGAATACGATAAGCAGAAAGTGGTATTCAGTAGTTACACGCAACAGAGGATCATAAGCGAGCGTATGGATGATCACGATTACATGGATGAGATTCGATGCTCATTAGTGGAATGTGAGGAGTATCGCCTACTGAAGGATAATCCTTTACACATGGGTTTTTTCTGGATTCGATCTCAGGTAAGTTTGTTTTTTAGCGATAAAATAATTTTATGCACAAAATGTCCTAAAAGGTGACAACATCAGTACATCTTTCATTGAAGACCTTGATGCTACTGGAGAAATTTTTTACAGGAAGCCAACTGAAAGTTAGTACTCATGTATTCATTTTAGTGCTTTATGAGGTCGATACATTTTAGGTGTACCATGCAGTGTTTGGACTGGTTGCTGGGCCTCCGTCGTTGATAACCTTGTGCTCATGGCTTGTGTGGCCATGAATGGATACCATTCTGTTGTTTCCTATAGCTGGCTGATGAATGGGTACATATGCAGGGGTGAAGACACTCCTCTACTTTACACTGCCAGAGAAGGCAAATATAGTTGCAAGGTCACCAATGATGAGCTGAATATACATATTTTTTATAACTTTATTGTGGAAAGTAAGCGGAAATCTCTCATGCACACTTAAAATGCAGCTTTTCTCATTATGATGATTTAGGAGTAGGTTATGCTGTTGTGGTGGTCCGTAGGGATGCACCTGATGGGAGTTTTGTTATTCCTAAAGGTGAGTTATAGTTCAAAGTTCCATTCTGAGTTGACTTCTGAGTTCCATTCCGAGCTAACTTCCAAGTTCCATTCCGAGCTAACTTCCGAGTTCCATTCCAAGCTAACTTCCGAGTTCCATTCCGAGCTAACTTCCGAGTTCCATTCCGAGCTAACTTCCGAGTTCCATTGTGAGTTTTTACCTTTGTTTGACCACAGAACTGTGTATTGAGAAAAGCCCGGATTCAGCAATAATCAAGAAATCTCTCTCTTCCCCCAATGGTATAGCTAAAGGTATACTTAAAACAGTGCATCATGTTAAGTGCTTGTTCTACAGAGCTTCATATTATTGATGAAATAGGGCGGGGAGGTTTTGGGTGTGTATCAAAAGCTGTCTGGCGGGGAACTATAGTGGCCGCCAAAGAAGTACCCACAGCCGGAAATGCCAAGATTCTAGAAAATGAGCTGGCTGTCTACAGGTAATTAACATATTTATTAATGTACAATACCTCCAAATAAACTGATAATACAGGAGTCTTAATCATCCCAACCTTCTATGCCTTCTCGGTACGATACAACGCCCACAATCACTTGTGCTGATAATGAACTATGTTAGAGGGCATTCACTACACCATATCATCTTTGGTGATGGTCCCCAGGTATGATGGGTACTCCATTGACGTAGGTAATGTTTGTAAATAAACGTTACTTTTTGCAGCTTGACTATACCAAGATAGTAAGGATCAGTGTGCAGATTGTGCAAGGGTTGGTGTTCATGCACACATCCGAACCGCCAGTTGTCCATTTGGACATGAAGCCAGAGAATGTCCTAGTAAGAGATAATAACATCTGTATCTAGAATCATCACTTCCATTATTTACAACCTGGTTGAGGATGACACGGGTCATGTTTTCCTTGCTGACTTTGGCCTCGGGAGACTCCTCACCAAGACCAGAGTTTTTGGTACAACAACAAAAATTGCAGGAACACCCGGTTTCCAAGCTCCAGAAAAGTTAAGAGGAGAGAAAATAACTACTTTAGTCGACATCTATGCTGTGGGTGGCATAATGGTGGAGCTCTTCGGTGGAAAGCCGCTGTATCATAACATGGACCCACACACCATTATGTTTCGAGTTGGAGTAAAGAACATTTTTCCAGACATAAGTCACATCCCCCAAAGATACAGCAGATTTTGGAAAATTGTTTGTGTAGCATGGACTGTCGTCACTCGTCCCTGAAGCTACTTGAACTACTTCTTGATTTGTAGATCCCGTCACATGGTCTTTATATCCCATTATGTTGTCATTTTGATTCACTTTCATGGCAATAATCATGTTTTATGCAGCAGAGTGTGTAACATTATTCATTCAATGCAGTTCAGTAAGTCAACATAGAGTTTCAGTGCATCTTCACAATTATCTGGTATGGACCAACCATTCTCACGCATCAAAATATCTGCCAGGTCTACAAACTCTGGAGGTACGGGAAGTGGCTTCTCTTTTGTGTGTGGCTTGCAAAATGCAACATCGAGAGGATCAACTGCAAATATTTGATTCACATACCCTATAACATACCAAAAAACAATAAAGCATTTGGCAACTGTCTGTTGCATATATAGCTACCTCTCATCTCTGGGATAAAGAAAAGTTCATCTGGAACACCGCCCACGTTAAGTCTTGACCGGTCTTGTCTAATAATGTGGGTATTCCACATTTCCATGACCTCACCCATTTCAACTTGGAGTACATCCATAAAGGCAAAGCGTATGCAGTCCCTTTAAACAAGAACTTCCGTTAGATTATATAGAGTGGAATGTAACAAATAAACTCACAAATGAATAGGGTTAGTCTCATCAAAGATTCCATTGTCTTTCAGAGCCTATACATTGTTTATACATCATTATGACAGATGGGCAGATATTATATAGCTGTATATAACACTAACCCGGAAGAATTCCAACCACCACTCAGTGAAACTCCGTCTTAGTTGGCTCCACCAGGCCTCGATACGCTGTGTAATAGCTACCTCGATAAGTTACTTTGCTGGTAGTAGTCCGCTGACAAACCTGATTACTTGCAGATCTCCCATACTGAAAACTATTATCTGCACCTTCCCCGTTCCGCCGTAAAAATGGCTGTAGATAAGCAATTCGAGAATTTTCGGTGCCTCTGTCTCCACGAACAATTATAGGACAACCTACAGAGGTTGAGGTAATCTCAAAAAAAGAGCAGTGAGACCTCTGCACCATATTTCTCGACAGCACTCAAGTAGTAGCCAGCTATGACAGCTGAATCGTTATTTGTTGAGGCTACCTCCAGCCATATTACTTTTCCTGGAGAACCTGTATCGTGCAATCATCACATTATACAGAAAATGATGCATGTGTATACATACCCATCAATGCATCCATGTATGGCAAACCCGTATGTCTTTAGTTTGTCCATTCCATCTATATGCCAGCAGTAGTTAGGACCCTAATAACATTAAAGTACTTACAGGTGTTGACCAACTACTAATAACATGTTACTTTTAGTGATAGCTTCTTCTTCTAAGTCGTCGCTGAGTCCTCATTTGAACACTCGTGGGATCAGCAACTGACAGCATAACTCTCACAACCTCCCTGATCAATGAAACTAATGATGAAAGTGTAAACCCTCGGCGCAATGCGCATGCGCGGTGCCGCTAATTATCGATGGGGGTTGAGCCAAGAGTATGCGTGGTCTCCACGCTAGTAGCTCGCTGAGGGTCTGACGCGCGGGGGCTAGCTACACTGGTAGATAGCATGCGAGAGTCGATACACGCCCTTACATGTGACTTCTTGAGCCACACACTAACACACTGACAGACAACTACTGTAACCTTCGCTGCACATGCTCGCCGAGGGTTTAATGACCAGCACTTCTTCTCACCTTGGAATAACAATGTTATATCGTCTACACAGTCTCTGATGCATTGACCGGTATCCAAGGAGTGCCCCGGAACCTTGCAGCTCAACCTGTAAGAACATAAACAGGCAACAATACAGCGTGCACTTATTGAAATCCGTACTAGTAAACAGCGAGTGACTCTTGAAAGCGAAGTGTGCCGGCCCCTTCTCCTAAGATTTAATCGTTGAAGGTGTCTCTTCAAGGTTCTCAAAGATATATTACCACCATGTAATGCAAAAAGGAAGCACAAAATCAGCCGATATGAATGGCCTCTTTCAAAGTACTCTTGAATGAGCCTGTCCCGCTCGACAGGTTGCACGCACTCGACAAAAGTTATGCCGGATACTAAAACAACAACTGCCAAACGGGGACATGGCTGAGAAACCCGGCATCACGCAGCCCAGGCAGCGACCGGTCGATCGAGACTGTCACTATATAGTTAAAGAGAGTAGCCAGCTAAAGAGGGTTAAAACTTTAGAATGGAAGTCGGTAGAATGGAAGTTTTCTACGACGGTATTTGTGGCCCTAAAAAGCCACCGTACGTCAGACTCCGCGAGATGGCTAGAGACCAGGAGTAACAGCCAGAACTAAACCCGGCCCATCAATTAGTGATACAGCGCATGCGTTTACTCACGCGTGCGCGTCACAATGCGCCGAGGGTTTGCACTTCAGTGCTTTTCATTATCGGTGTATCTTGAAGGCATAAGAAGTCACAACGAAGGGCGTGTGTCGACTCCCGCATGCTATCTACTACTGTAGCTTGTCCGTGTCAGACTCTCCGCGAGCTACTAGCGTGGATACCACGAGTAAACGCATGCTAAAAGCCCAGCCCATCAATTAGTGGTACCGCGCGTGCGTAGTTCGCTGAGGGTTTGCACTTCAGTGTTTTTCATTTGTTATGTGGTCAAGGATAGCATGTCGTACACCCTTATGCTGATCCTCAGACCCTGTCAGAATGTAAGAGAAGGCCTGAAAGAGGCAGTTACCATCTCCCTGTACGCGTGTCACACTACACATGTCTGGACGTGTGAGGGGGACAGTAGGTCCTCCCGGTCTTTCTGGTATTTGTGTTCAACATTGGAGGCCCAGCTCTTGGCATGCACTTTACATCTACAAAGTGGAAATTGAAAGGGGTAGCAGCAGGTGTTTCTGTACCTGTAATAACACAGTCCTCATTATCCCTTGCAGATGTGGGATTGACCCTGACCTTTTTTACACATGGGGACACAGTTTTGTCTACACCAGTGAGCTTCCTCTTACTTTCTGGAGACATACAGAGGTCAGGTCTATGGGTTTTCTGAGGTGGTTTACTTCCCCCATGGAACTCACACTAACACTGATGGACTGGGGACCAAAGGCTGTTAGGAACAGACCATCTAATGACACTTGTGGATGGTAACAGCATATGCTAAAATGAGAGGGAACTGTTTACGATACACATAGAAATTCTTCATCACCATGAACGTGCTTCTGACCTTATCAATCTTGCAAGGATCAGGTACGTTATCAAACTGCACAGTCACATGTTGGGCTGCTATTGACAGCACTGTTCCAATAGCACCATTGACCAGCCCAGCCTTGGTGTCAATATTCCGACGTAGCATGACTCATGCACCGACTGCAAGAGACAGTTTGGCTTCCAGCCCAGCTGTCATGTTGCAGTCGGCGTTCAGTTTATCCAAATGCTCAATGACCTTCTTGGTCGTCTTCTTATTGCCTGTTGTTTCGTCAATCTTGTCAGTACAATAAATGTCATGCACTTCAGAAGCATTCTTGCGGAGCATTTATGCATTTAGATTATCACAGGCTTTTCTCTTGGGGAATGAGCAAACAGGTACTCTGACGATTGTGCTGCGTGGCGACGGTGTTTAAAGATGGGAGTGAACCGACGGTGTCATTCTCTCGGCAACATCTTGCTGTCGGGCAGAAACAATTTATTTGCTGGAGGTTATGGTGAGTATGTGTGTAGGGTGTAGCTATGTGCATAAATTCTGCTTGTGTGAGAGACCACACTTCACACCTGTAGAGGAGAATAGGGAGGTAGTATACTTTGTAGAGGCGCAGGGATGTAAGTGGGTGGAGGCAGCCAGCACGACCATTGAGAGAAAAGAATGCCCTTCTTGAAGAACTGCAGCGCTCCAAGGTACGAGGGTTAGAGGAAGAGGAGACAGAACGAAGAACTCCAAGGTGGTGGTAAGAGTCTTTCTCAGGAATGACCTCACTATACCTATGAGCCACTCACGAGATGGGTGATTTCGGGCACGGGTTGCTGCCAAAGATTAGGATGGCAGACTTCTGGGCATTGAGTTGGTAAAGCCACTGAACTGAGTAAGATAAGACGATCTCGAGCATGGCCTGAAGATCAGTGCTGCTGTTTGCAATCAGTGCCAGATCGTGTGCGTACATGGCGCATGCCAGGATTGCGAGTTCGAGTTTTGGCTCGGTATAATTATACTGGCTTTGACCCTTCTTGAAGAACTGCAGCGCTCCAAGGTACGAGGGTTAGAGGAAGAGGAGACAGAACGAAGAACTCCAAGGTGGTGGTAAGAGTCTTTCTCAGGAATGACCTCACTATACCTATGAGCCACTCACGAGATGGGTGATTTCGGGCACGGGTTGCTGCCAAAGATTAGGATGGCAGACTTCTGGGCATTGAGTTGGTAAAGCCACTGAACTGAGTAAGATAAGACGATCTCGAGCATGGCATGAAGATCAGTGCTGCTGTTTGCAATCAGTGCCAGATCGTGTGCGTACATGGCGCATGCCAGGATTGCGAGTTCGAGTTTTGGCTCGGTATAATTATACTGGCTTTGACCAGAAGGAGTGGGGAGGGGCCTAGGCTCCAAACTCCGAATGTCTAGGATGGTCAGCACATACCAGTGGCAAAGCCTTGTGGGGATGAATCTCATTCGTTCAGAGCCACAAGCGCTTGTTGTGCATGTGTCCCGAGGGTTAATAACTGACTCTAGAAATGATGTCCATTGGGATGAGGACAGTTCTTCTGGAGAGGTGATAGGGAACAGCTCTGAGTAGAGTAGTGATGGTCTCTGCCTTACCAACATGACTGGCTGCATGGTCACTGCTCACATCCTCAACCCCTGATATCACACACACACACACACACACACACACACGATCACGAGAGGAGAGAGAGAGAGAGAGTGAAGATCAAGTCCTAGGAAGGTGTAAGGTCTGACCAAGTGTCTGGAGGGTGAGGTAAAGCAGAGATGAGGAGGTCCACTCGGCAGGATGTTCCAGGTCACTGGTGGTCAGGTGTGTACTCACTCCCAGTTCCCTCTCCTGCTCAGAGGAGGTTGGGATGTTATGGAACACCAGTCACTGTTGTATTGAAGAAGAGAGACGTACTCTGGCATCCAGTAGCCTTGTCAGCCAGTGCTTTGATAGTTGGTGTCTGTGGATGGCCTGTGACATGTACTGCTTCATACGGCAAATGACCTTGACACTTACTCAGTACTAATGACTTGTTCATGCATGAAAATCACGGCTTTAGTTTCAGCAACATTTCTATTACGTCGCACTAATGGCATGTATATACTTATGCAGTACTAACCAGAGAGAGCTCTTTGGCCACAGGATGCTGTGGAGGAGTACCCTATAATGATGGAGGAGAGAGGAGGAAGGAGAGGGAGGAGTGAAAGACAAAGTACACAGAGAATACATGGGGTAGAGGCTGAGGGAGGAATGGAGTGGGAGGAGAAAAATACAGGACATCAAGGGAAGATGTTGATTCATAGTTCATATGTACATCAACATGTGATTACATACACATTAGAGGATATAACGCTACCAAGTCAATGATGTCATAGCCATGTCAAATGGAAGAGCAAACAATGCATGTACATGTAGACCAGTCACCTAACAACCATCAAAAAGAGCAGTAAAAGAACTGAATGTTTTCAGCATAACTCAGAGGATGTGCGGCACAGAATCTATGAAGTAATGATTTAGCTGACTCAGCGAACAAGGCCTTTATAAACTCGTGATGCCAGAGAGAGAAGTTACGGTATGCTCTGCTGATTAGGGCCGAAAGCTGTCCAGAGCTTCACATCTTTTTTCTCTTGGCATCACATTTCTAATACCTTAATGGGGCTGCCACAGAAGGTGCCGTCAATTGTAGCACCGTAGCCCGAGCCGGAGAGCAGATGCAGGAGGTCATGGAGTACAAGAAACGTGACAGAATAGCTCCCTGTCGTACGCCTTGACTGATGTTGAATGAGCGGGAGGTGGAGGAATTCCATAAGACAGCTGAAGTGAATCCTCTATACCAGTGGTGCAGGATAATCCATATATATCTGGGGAATCCGAACAGGGATAACTTGTATAAGAAGCCCTCATGCTACACGGTGTCGAGTGCTTTCTTGACGTCCAGAAAGGCCATACTGTCATGATGGTCTCCTGGAGGAAAAAGGCGGTGTGCATGGGGCTCCTGCCTGGAATAAAGCCGCCCTGGAGTGGATGGAGTCTATAGTGAGAGGATGTAGTAAGAGTTTTCTCAAAGACCTTGGTGATTGAAGATAGGA